GTCGCCCCCGACGGACCAAAGAAAACAAAAAAGAACATGACACACCCCCCCCCCCCCCCCCCCCATTACAGACTGCAACAACCGTATTCATCAAATAGTCGATGGTGGAGACAAATAACTTCAAATTAGAAAACAAAAAAAAAAAGATTATTATCGAGTATATAGCAATAATTATAAATGAAATCGAGCGCCCTTAAATGAAAAAACAATATTTTCTTTTTTTAATATACAAATAAATAATAAATTCCCGATCTTTTCATCGATTCTCAAGGAAAACAATTATAGTTGACGAGAAGTCTTTCAGTATACAGATGATGCGTCAGGTAACAAAGCTAGATGTATACGTGAGTTCCACATTTCAGCTTCGCAGGAGCTGCGCTAACAAGCTTTTTTAAACAATTTATGTTGTCAAAATTCACGTTTCTAAAATTTGTATTAACCCGCGGGTCCAAAGAAAAATTATTCAATCCGTGAGGCGGGTCGGGTTCGATCACGAACGGGTCGGGTTAGCGGGTCGGGTAAAAAAAAAACCTGTCATGAACATCTCTGGTGGGCACATGTGGATGTAGTTGGTGAGTGTGCGCATGCTTGTGGATGTGAGGTGTGCGTACGAATGTAGGGTGTGTATGTGGCTGTCGGGTGTGCGTGCCGATGTAGCTCCGCGTGGAGGTGTGCACATGGGATTTGAATGGGTGTGGGTGTGTGGTATGCCTGTGCGTATGAATCAAATACACTCACTCATACTCACACGCAGATCCACACACCCACCCAAAAATACTGGTTGAGATTTTTGAAAAATTTGACAGTAAATATATTATTAGCAGAAAATAAGTCGAGAATTTATTTTAATAACTATTTTGTGAGCAATAAATAGCGTTTGTCATTTAGTCTTGGCAAAGCAAAGTGGGATGATATACTTTCATGACTTTTGAGTTACAAATCTCTTGGCTAAAGTAATATACCTCAGACATGGAACCAGTACCAGTTACCAGCCGGCACAGCGATAGGCCGGTAGGTTATCGGAAATCGGTCATGAAAAATCTAGACCGGTTCCATCTCTGATGTGCCTAATTCCCAAGCAGACAAACTTTTGGAAAAACACGTTTAAGCGCACAAAAAATTCGCCTAAAATCAGCAAAAAGTGGACATTTTTGGGGTGACGCTCGGGGTTCTCGACTATGAGCCAAAAACACCCATTTTTTGCCCTTTTTGTGCGTTTAAATGCGTTTTTGAGACAAAAAACACGTGTGCACACATAGAAGGAAGAGAAAAACTGATCGTGCTTTTTATACTCGAAAACTGTGACTGTAATCATGATCATGAATCTCGAGTATGAGAACAATGGCCGCTTTTCTCTTCTTTCTATATGTGTACACGCATGTTTGTCTAAAAACACGTTTAAACGCACAACAAGGGCAAAAATGGGTGTTTTGGGGCTCATAATCTGGAATCGCGAATGTCAATCAAAAACGTCCACTTTTTGCTGATTTTAGGCAAATTTTTATGCATTTAAACGCGTTTTTCCAAAAGTTGGTCTGTTTGGGTTTGAACGTTGGTTTTCATTACTTTAGATTTTATATTTCTTGATTAATTATTGAAGACAAATAAGGGCTTTCAAATGGCAGAATCTTCTGATTTATCAACAACTCTTTCTTCCTCCACAGGAAAGCTTGACAATGTCGTTTATTATGATGTGTTAAAATTAGCTAAGAATGAAATAATACGCGCTCTTGACTTGGAAGAACATGAAAGAAAAGATGAAATTATAAACGATTTGTTAAAAAATGGTCGGCAATCATTGTTTAATTATGAAGACGACCTTGTACCAGATATATATGAGGCAGCAGTAAATGAAAACGATGGCGATTTGATGAAATCTCTGAAAAATTATTTTGAGCAACAATGGAAAGTAGAATATGGTTCTTCAAATCAATGGTTTATTTTATTTTTGAAAACATATGAAGACGACGCCAATTATGGTTCATATAAATGTGTTTTGAATCGTACCGCTGAATATGGGAATAAATACTTAAAAAGTTGCCCAATCTTATCAATTGTTTTGCAACTTCTGTTTGAAGGTATCGATGATCAATGTTTGAATGACACAAATGTATTCGATGATCTATGGTTCACAATAACAAATGATGGTTTAAAATCTATAGAAAAATTTTCTGATTATGTCAGTGAAGATGAAATGTTGAAACTAATAAATAAAGAACAGTTGGCGTTATTTCAAGCTTTACGTGAGTATTATCGTCCAGAATTATTTCAGTTATTGGAACAAAGCAGTATCGCAAATAGACAAAATTTGTATGAATTAACATTAGATAACGTTGCTGAATATGGTTGGTTAAAAGGTTTACAGGCAGTTCAAAAGAAAATAATACCAAGATATTTTAAAACATTACTAGCAAAAATTCCTTCTCAAAAACAACAACAAACTACAGAATCAGAAGATAAGAACGGTGGCACAACGATTGCCGCGTCAACGGTAGTATCTAGCAATGCATCCGAAAAGCAACGTAAGTTTGATTTGATTAAATGTCTTGTTTGTTTACCCCCGTAAATTATAAATACCGTTACTATAGAAAAGACTTTTTAGAAGAAAGTTGACAATCTAGTTTTGATATGTAAGCTGTTGCTGTATTATGCAGCTCCACTACATGATATGCGACATCATGATTTTTCGGACCTGAGCTATCCCTAGGGATTTGAAGAAAACTTTATTTTCGACCTTACTTCTCAGCACACATGAGCATGTCAATTGACGTATGTTGATCACAAATATCCTAGTCGCAATAAGTAAAACTAGATTCCTATGAAGTAATACAAGCGCAATAAAGTCGCCTGTAACGGTGGTTTCGCGATTCTTCAATCTATGGCTCAGATCATAAAGAACAAACATTAATAAAAAGCATATTTTTTCTGACTAGAAATCTCTAGGTCTGTCCTAATGTAAGCTCGAAAAAATAGCTGAAGTCAATTAAAAGAGGAAGCTGACGATTTCAGATCAAAAAGAAGAATCTATGGTCAATTCCGATCAATACTCAGTATGTTTCCTTCTGAAATCACTGCTACCACAGCTTGAAACTTTGACACGGGGATAACTTTCTGAGGGTGTGGGTGTGTAACTGTGGGTATGGATATAAACAAGACTTATCAGCACATTAACTGACACGCTCATTCCCATCCTACCACACCCATACCCTACCTATGCCGACACATCTACACTCACATCCGCACACAAAAACAAACACCCATCCACTCATACCCACCCACCCTCAAATATATCTAAAGAATGGGATAATTGATGAGAAACTTCAAAAATTACCAACAGTATACTGTTTGATGGGTTACCCGGTAGTTTTAAAATTTTTCACGAAAAAATAGCTTATAAAAATCTGGAATAGTGGTTTTGGTAGGTAGCTCAGCAAGCTCTATCGAAACATATGAATAAGTTAACATTTTTTCTGCTGAATTTCTGAATTACCGACTCTTGACATGCTGTCTTTGGCATTAGATGCTAACGAAGGAACGTGGTAGAATATTGTAAAAGAGTAGACACATAGAGAATATCCTTTTTTTCATATTTGAGCCTTACAAAGAAAGTACGATGTATGGATAAAACTGGTTATTGGTCTCTGTAATTATGTAACCTTATAAGTTACACCGTTGTTTCTAACTGAAACATGTATGGTTACTGATCATCACAATACTCTTTACATTTAACTATGCGTTCGTTTATCTATCAATATTATCACACATTTGGCTAAATACAATTGTTTCTTTTTGCTTGTTCTATAATTTTTTTGTTTCTCACTATAACAATACAATTCTTTAGAGGAAGCAATGTCAAAAACATCTTCAACTAATTTAATGTTAACCACTACACAAATGAAACAAGTACCGATTGAAAATCATAGGCGAGAAGCAAATAAAGCAGTATTCGATGGCAATAATACAGATTCGAGAACAACATGGGAGAGTCAACCAGACCCAGTATTAACACCACTGATCAAAAGTGAAATTTCGGATAATATATTAGAAATCTGTCCTGAATCGATTCAGACAAAGCTCGATGATATCAAAAAGAAATTTGATTTACAAAGTAGAGATGTTTACCAGATAGAACACGAACTAGCAGAACTTGAACAACTAAAGCGTCAATACGACGATTTGAATCCAGCAGTTTTGTATTTGCGAAAACATGATTATTCGGATATAAATGTTCTGAATAGGAAGATTGAAAATCTAGAAGCTGAGAAAAAGAAAAAACTAGAAGCAGCCAAAGCCGAAACAGATAAGATAGAATCTCGATTGAAGAGTTTCGAATTAATTCTCAGAGAACACATGACAAAATCTTCGCGAACGGACAATTCAGATGAACGTAGAAACTTGCAGAATGATTATTTAAAAGAAGTTGGATTTTCAAATATGGCTGCTGTGATGGAAGCTATTACCATAACTAAGGCAGAAAAAGAAAAAAACATGAAGTACATTGAAAAGAATAATAAAGAGCTAAGTGATACTATAAGTGCGCTTGAATCGATTAGTGTAGAATATAACTCATTATTAAAGTCACCTGAATCTAACTCTACCGCAATGATCAATCTTCTACAAAATAAAGGATTTAATAGTTCTACATTCCTTGATCAGAAAATTCAAGAGAAAATGAGTATCGTTGATGAATGTAAGAAAAATAAGAAAAAATACTATTTTAGCGACAGATTAGACGCATCTGCAGCAAACGATGCGTTTGAATATATCAGTCAATGCGAAAAAGTGGGCGATGTTAGTGTCAAAAAGATTGTAGCTGATACCAGAGAGATGTTGCAACAGTATATACGCGAATATGGTAATTCTCTCGATCAAGAAATAAAAGCAAAATATGACAATATCATTCACATGGGATGTGCAGGAGATTCTCTTCAGTATTCTAACGATTTAGACAAGCGGCTACGTGAATTATCTTTACTTAGCAAATTTGAATGTGTTTTTGAATACATTAATGGAGCCAAAAGAATAGAAAATTGCCTTAATACATTTCTTGATTATCATCGTAATCTGAACGATGAGATGGAAAGATATCAAGCTAATGGTAACGGGAAAGAATTGAGAATACGATTACACATTGCGGAGGCATTGAGCTGCGTAGATATATTCTGGCCAGCTAAGATTTCAGGTCAAGGATTTGAGAACTTATACAGACAGTTTCTGGTAAGAGCCGGTGAACAATGGGAAGCAGATTATAAGACTGTAATAGACCACATATATAATGGTAACTATCGAAAAGCAGCTGTGGTACTTTCTAATAATTGTGAGTGTTTTTTAAAAATCAGATATTCTACAGAAATTAAGCATCACCTAGAGGATTCTTTAAAAAAGCTGATGCATAATACCAAAAGTAAGGCAAAGGAGCTAAAAGAGAATATCGAAACAGAACATAATCAGAACGAACTAAGAAAAATAAGAGAGAACATTGAGAAAATTTGTAATGCTTCAGAAGAAAACGACTTTAATAACTTACTTGATAACATCATGAAACATGATATCGAAAGGTTTAGGAATGATATCGTTCAAATTTTATCTGATATTATTCTAAATAGACTTAAAGCTATTGAAACTTTCCTCAATGCCGATAGTTTTTTAGAAGCTGAACAAACCATGAACAATTTTTCCCATATGCAGTTTGAATTAGAAGGCATTTTTACATCTGAATCTGTTGTCAAAGAAAGTAAAAAACTAGAAGAAAGAGTGAAAAACATCGATATTGAGATTTTGAAACGTGACTTTCAACATATTAGCAAGTACCATTTGGATTCACCAAAAAAATTTTTAGAGAATTTATATTCAGTTCAAAAAAAATTCCCTGCTAAATACGTGATAACTTACGAAAAAATGTCAAAGAAAATATATGAAAATTTTGAGAACGCTATAAAAAAAATTGGTACTGTCCCTTGGAATGAGCGTCATGAGAAAATAAGTTCGCTCGAAGATGCATTGTGGTATATGCCACAAGAATGGAAAAATGACTTCAGCTCACAAATCGCTAAATGGAGGGAATCAATCAGTATTGAAGAGAGTACCAGTAGAAATGAGTTGATGAAGTGTCTCCAAAGTGACGATCAAGACGATCATACCCTAATAAGATTAGCCACACTTGCTAAGCAATTTGATCAGCAAAAGATGAATGAACTTTTGAAAAAATTACGTGAAGATGTTCTAACAAAGCTGAGAGACTATCAGGCAAAAGTAAAGTGTTCTTTAGATGAGCAAAAAATGCAGTCCGCTGTAGATATCGTACAGAAACTCTTCAAATATAAAGAAACTCTGAGCTCTTATATTAAAGAAGTAACAGAAATTTATAAAGATGTCTGTCATCTAACAATGGAAAATTTTTATAAGTGCTCTAACATTCTTGCTAACATAGCCACTTTCGAACAAGCCAACATTGTTGATACAGCATTTGATAATATGGTTGTTTTTATCAAGTTTTGTGCGACGCTTGATAAAACAAACAAAGAATTTCCGTTTCAAGACGTATTGCTAAAACTAGCGGAGACATTTAAGAAAGTTTACGAGCTTTTTAGTAAAAATTCTGAAAAGTACAAAGCTGCCATTCCTGAGATACATATAGCTGAACTAAAAGAAGCTATGACGGTATCTCGGCGATGGAATGGATTTCGGCAGAAGCTGAAAAAATTTAGTGAAAATAATAATTCAAAACCAGCAAAAACATTTTCGGATGCCCTAGAAAAGCTTGAACTGTACGATGATATGCGTGCTGAGCTGGAAAAAAAGGTAAACTATATAAAGAACCAATTAAATGTCGAACTCATTACTGAAGAGACAATACTGTTTGCAGAAAAGCGTGACGCTTTCTTCCGTAATCTGATGGAGTTCATCCATAAATTAAGAGCGATAAATGTCGAATTGAAAGATTTTTTACCAGCTACATTAGATCTAGGGGAGTCGGAAGAACAGATTAGAAAAAAAGCTCAAGCGCTCGGTGATCAACTTCTTAAACTTGCATCAAAAGAAGAACTTACTTCGGCTGAATGTGATAAGTTTCGTATAAATTACAACCATCTTTCATCATTTGTAGCTCATGTAAATCTAAAAAACCTCGATATTAAAACATCTTTTTTACACAAATCGGAGGAAAAAGTTCTCGAAAACGTAACATCCCTGGGTAAAAAAATAGAAGATTCACTTTCGAATGTTCAAGAAGTCGCCAAATTGCTATGTCAAATGAAATTTTTTGCTGAAAATCTATCGATGTTTGATACTGAAATCAATGCAAAAATAGATAAAGAGTTGAACTTATATAAGACACAACAGGGTATATTGGCTATTGATCAGTTGATCATGTTTTTAGAGAGAACAGACATAGGTTTTCAATTGATTAATGAACATACCTGCTTAATTGGAGAAAATTGGCGAAAAAGACGTGAGAAAATGCAAAAACAAGATGATCTGAACTATGTTATGGACAATTTGACAGGAGACGATGTTGAAGAGGATGTAAAGAATGTTTTGAAAAAAAACTATGAGACTTTTCGATCAATCTATGAAACGCTAATATCTAGATTTTTAGGATCATTTAATTTAAAGACCGAAACTGAGCCAAATCTCGAAGCATTGATTACGGAAACGAAAGCTCTTGTTGGTGAAGTAGCTCAAACTTCTGAGTCTGTTAACTGGGATCACTCCATTCGAGATCAAATTCCTAAATTGTTAGCACATATTTTTGGTGTTTGGACTTTGAAAAATACTCAGCATCTTAACGCGTCGCGTGGTATCGAAGCCTCACGAGCTTATCTATTGATGCCGCATATTGCACAAGTCGTTGCAATCTTCCGTATTCTTGGTATTGGGTACAAAAAGAACTTGCAACTCCTTAAAATTAGTATACCTAAGACAAAAATAATCACTGACAATTTAATTAATAATTTGGTACAAATAGGAACAGGTGAAGGTAAATCCATTGTTATGGCAGTTACTGCTTGTGTGTTTGCACTCATTGGCGTGGATGTTAGATGTTCGTGTTATAGTGAATATCTAAGTACGCGAGACCAAAATGATTTTGCTCCGGTATTTCGTGCGCTCGGAGTAGAAAAACGAATCGAATATGGCACTTTTAATAAACTCTGTGAAAATGTGTTAAATGAACAATGCAATCTACGAGAAAAAGTAGGTGACATGATCATGAAAAATAAGAATGCCGTAGAGGTAGGTATAGCAACTGCGCGTATTCGTCCAAAAGTGTTGTTGATCGATGAGGTAGATGTTTTTCTAAGTGAAAAATTTTATGGTGGAATCTATACTCCATCGCTATATTTAAAAGATTCCTCGATAAAGATGTTGTTAGACACATTATGGCAAAATAGAAATTTACGAACATTAAATGCTGTCAAAGCTTCGACAGCATACCAAGCTTGTGCTTCACGTTTCAGTAATTGGATTTTTCTTTTCGAGGAAGCTATAAAAGATATGTTGGTTGCTTTACGATCATTTCAGTCATCAACATATATTGTGCAGAATGATAGGATTGTCTATATCGAAGGTGAATCCATTGTAGAAAATGTAGTTCGCGGTTATGATACTATTTGGGCATATTATTATGAGAATCAAAAAGGTAATATTAGTCAAAGTAGTCTGGATGCGAATGTGGGCATCATTATTAACTGTGGAGCATTCTCTTATGCGGAAATGCCGCATGAATTCGGGTTTATAACTGGTGTTACAGGTACTTTAGAAACACTTTCTAAATCAGAAAAAGATATACTGGAAAATGTTTATCATGTGCACAAAAACACTATTATGCCATCGGTATTCGGAAGAAGCAATCGAAATTATAATTCCGTGAACGATGTATACGCAGTTACAAAGTCAGAATATTTCATGAGAATTCGCGGAGAGATTGACGTCATGCGTAATGCTGGACGTGCCATTCTTGTATTTTTCGAATCGGAAGAAAAGTTGATGGCATTTTACAACTCTTCTGACATGTCATCTATAAAAGAGACAGTACAGATTATCACCGAAAAAGTTTCTCGCAAAGAGAGAGAACTATGTATTAAACGAGCAGCAACCGATGGCAAAGTTACGCTATTGACTAGAATATTTGGGCGAGGAACTGATTTCATATGTCGAAATCAACAAGTGTTAGCTAATGGTGGTATTCATGTGCTCCAAACCTTCTTTTCAGAGGAACTATCTGAAGAATATCAAATAATGGGAAGAGGAGCTCGACAAGGAGATCATGGTTCATATAGAATGATATTGTTGGATAGCGATTTAGAATGGGTACTTGGCGCCGATTGGGAGAAGGAGATTCCTCAAATAACAGGCTCTATTCTGTATAAATCTTTGAATGAGGCACGCAGAGAACGTTATGAAAGCAAATGTGCTGCGAGAGGAGTTGGTATAAAACAATGCAGACATGACCACAAAGAGTCTATAAAATTCATGAAAGCATTGTCTGAGGGAAAAATGAGCATTGTTATAAGCTTTTTGACTGAACAGAATCGCGGAGCGGATATACCTGTAGATACCTCGCGTACACTTCTCCTAATGGATGCAACAGGCTCCATGTCAAATTTGTTGTCGGCTGCCAAAGATACTGTCTGTACGATGTTTGAACGTGCCTCTGCAGTTCTAAAGGAGAAAAAACTTCCTGGTGATGCATTTCAAATGCAATTTGTAGTTTATCGAGACTATGACTGTAAAGCACATGGAGTTCTACAAAGTTCCTCTTGGGAAACAAACCCAACTAAATTGAGATCTTTCATGACTAATATTCATGCTCACGGCGGTGGTGATTATGAAGAAGCAATTGAAATAGGATTATGGTACGCAGTTCAGCAAAGTGCAGAACCAGAGGGAATTTCACAGGTTATTTTAATTGGAGATGCACCAGCTAAAAATAGTGCGGCAATAGACAGAGACAGAGCAGCTACTGGCGGTGAATCATATTGGGGTACGACGAAGTTCAGAAATCCTACTCATTATACAACCGAAATGAGGAAGTTGAAAAAGAAAAACATTCCTGTTCATGCATTTTATCTCCGTGATGGTGCAAAAGTCAATTTTGAACAAATTGCGCATGAGACAGGAGGAAGTTGTAAATCGCTAGAAATCAATTCTCCTGAAGGTGCCGAATCATTGACGCACTTTGTTACTCAAGAACTCCTTAGAAAAGCAGCTGGGAAGCAAGGAGATGCTGCAGTAGCACTATATGAAGCGAAGTACGTCAAGAAAACGTTTACATCCTAAAAACGATTGATAAAAAAAATAGCTCAATACTTCGTTACGTGAATATTTGGAGGTTTCTTTTACTTTTAATGAACGGTGACATTGATAGAGGTTATCTTTTTTCGTTAGTAGTTTCGTTTTTATTTTAAATAGAACTTATCTTAAATATAATAGCAATTTAAGACCTATTTTACACTCTTTCCACGTAAAACGTTCTCAATGAATTGTGTACTTGACGTAAAAGTGTTTTAATGATACATTGTTACTCACATATTAACCTTCGATTTTTGTTTTTTTTTCTTGTATTTGATTTAATTACTATCTTAGGTCGACATCATAAATTACCTTGTCTTTTTCTTATTGTTATTGGTTGAATTAGCTGAATATTCTTGTTGTAATTTCGTTTTTTCTTTCTGTTATTCTAAGATTTGTACTAAAAATAATCGTATATTGATATTTTTTTTTAATTTTCAATTTTTTTACACACTACAAAATGTTGTATTCCTTTCTTTTTATGTAATCATGAACTCTCTTTTAAATATATTGAATTGATTTGAAAAGAATGACGGTCTGTTTATAGAAATGAAATAGATCGAGTAATTCATACGGCAGTTTTGGATCTCTGCTAGAGGTCATCTTCAGGTAGGTTAAGAATCATTATAAGCACATTAATTAGTCATGAGCAATATGGAAATCTTCTAATTTACGAAGGTCAACCAACATGAACACAAATACCAATTATACACTTATATATATATATCAAATAGATTTGTCATTTATAGTCTGTATCGTTGTTAAATCAACTATAAACCTGCGCATTTGCAGAGATGAAATGAATCAATCGATTCATATGACATGTTTCCGTGATTTCCGAAGGAGAAATCTTGAATCAAAATTAGACTAGTTGAGTTTATGTAGAGTTGACTTGAAGTTTCTCGTTCCATTGGCTGGTATTTTGCTATTGAGAAGAAGATTATACAAATGTTGGTTAAAAGTGTCGAAAGATTAGAATAGTTTATCTAAGTAGAATGAGGCTCCGTCAGAATAAATAAACTAATAGAATGCTCAATAATAAAAATAAAAATGAGCAAAATCGACAAATCTTTCGTATATATAAGTAATTAATGAGAGATTTCTAAGCTAATGTTGTTACTTCACTTTGAATTTTCAACACTATAGATTTCTCCGCGCTTTTTCTGTCATTTCCTCATGATATGACAGTTAATGAATCCGATCTTCGTTTCTCTTTTAATCTTTCATTAGTATAGTATTTACTTGATTTTTCTCGATGGACACATAAAAATAGATAAGTTTAGATCTTTCTATGTGATTTATAAAACAGTAAACAACAGATATGGAATTGTAGGATAGAAGCGATTACTCATAATCCAAAATTAGTGATTATACAGCTGTACAATTATTTGTCCATCATATATTTTCTTACAAATAAATTTTCTGTTTTTTTTAAATTTCACTCTCTTTTTTGATCTTTTAGACACATAAATAAAATCTTATTCGATTGTGTAAAAATAGCGAAGGGTGTAGCTGTGGTGTGGGAATGTTGATGTGGATGTGAAGTGTAGATGTGGGTGGGTGTAAGTGTAGGTGTGAGTGGGTGTGTCGGCGTGGATGTGTGTGAGGGTCTGGGTGGAATTTGGATGCAGCGAAGAATAAAATGGACACCAACACTCATACCTAATCTACGACACTAATCAAATAATCTACCAGGGCATTTGACATATCTTGAGAACTATTATGAACGTCGTTGTCATCGAGTCAGAATAAACCCGAGGTAAGAATAAGAAATTTATGAAAACTATCTTAAGATTTGTTTTTTTTTTAAATTTAGACAAAATTTTCAAGAATATAGATAGTAAGAAAGAAAACTAGTAGGTAGTGACCGTTACTAACTTCTACTGATGGAAATACTAAATCTGATACATTTAATGGTATTTAATATACAGATAAATTTTGCGGGTGTGGGTGTACCTGCTATTCTTCGCTACATTCACACTTCACTCACACCCACACAAAAGCATCATGTCAGCGACAAAATATTGTTTTGGCCATGATCTTGCTAGGGCACACTATTCGCAAGAAGTTTTGGATTATTTAGAGACATTATCTGTATGAATTGTACCCAAAGTCAATAATCCACGAAATGTGCCACAAGGACATCCCATTGAAGATTTTTGGGGTGTTATAGCTCAATTGGTGTACGAACAAAATTGGGAAGCAAAAACATTGAAACCACTCGAACGTCGAATGCAAAACAAATAAAAACAAGTTGATACATCACTTTTACAATGTATGATGAATGATGTTCGCAAAAACCTGCGAAAAATGTATACTGATGGTGTTCTTGCTGTTTGTCGTTAAACATTTCTTTGTACAAGAAGTGAAGAGCTTTCGAATAAAACAAAGAAAAAGGCTTCTAGCCTTTAAAATGATGGAGATTTAGGCTTCGACATTTTCCCGAGAACTTTTGCACCACCCGTTATTTTGATCTAAAGATAATGTTTATTTGTATTTCTCGAGGGTGTGGATGTGTGAATGAGGTCTTCGATTCACCTACACTCGCATCCACAGTTTTAGTTTCTTCTATGGATGATTAAAATTTTAACTTTTCCTTAACGAAATTTTAAATTTCCCTAGATTTTAATTTCTCGTGTAACGCTTCTATATTGACTCAGAATCATAGGGAGTGCACCAGCAAGCAACGAGTTATCAAGTAACTTAAATTTGTATTTCTTTCTGGTTTCGTCCATGATCACCATATAAGAACATACTCATAAGGGAGATCAACTAGCTGCTAACATACATAGTTAAATAAACAGTTTCAATGAAAAGACCGCAATATTTTCAATTGACTCTTAAGTTTATAATTTCATTAGGAAGGAATATCTGATAAATGGCAGACAATCTTTCACATGAGTATACAATCGAAAACTCAATGATTGATGAGCGAAAAGTAACAAAAAAACCTCGAGTTTTGCCCACTCGTTCTGAATACATCAGTTCTCAATAAAAAAAACGTTACACTATCCTGAAACTTTTAATATGCTGTCAAAATAAATTAATACGCAGGCTTCCGATAGTATGTCTTTGAGAAATTAATTTCGAAAAAAAACTTTTACTGCCAAGCTTTGAACTATGGCTCGGAGGGAGGAAATATAGTTTCATTCCAGAGTTGGAACCGATGGAGAATTTTCTAACCGGTCTGATCCGGTCTGGCTGGTCCAAATATTAGACCGGCTCGACCCGACCGGTTTCAAAAGTTTTTCAGACCGGTTAAAAACCGGTCGACTTGTCAGATCTTTTTTAATCGGTTAAAGGAAGTAGCTTCAACAATCACGCAGTTTCCCTTTTCTGCTCGCATTTTTAGGACTACTTAAAAGAAAATATTATATCACAATCGTTCATGTTTTTAAGATTTCTCAACATGAATTTGTGATGTCTCTTGAGCGCGAAAATTAGACAATTTAACCAGCAACCGATTTCTAAATTGCAGTTCTTGAAGTTTTGCACTCAAATTTTACTAAAAAACCTAATGTTCCTCTAAGAATGACGGTTCAACCTCAAATCTAGTCTCCAACAAAGCATCAACGAGATAAGGTCAGAAGTTAATCTCAAGTAACACAGTTTTGATTGTGCTTTTCATTAAGCGAAAGACAGATCGATTAAAGAAAGAAAAGTATAAGCAAACAGAAAAAGATAAAACTTAATTTCTAAAACAATACTGTTTGGCTATTTTGATAAATGCGTTTAAACTTGGTGTTGACACGTTTTATCAAAAACAAAATAGCATACTAAAAAAAATTTTTAAACCAATGAAAACCAGTGCAGACCGACCGGACCGGTTCCCACTCTGTCTCATTCTAAAGCTTATTGCTTCTCCTAAAAAATTGAGCTTGTGCCACCCATGCTCCGAACAACCACATATTGACCTTCTGTTCAAACCATAGTAAATATATTTCACGTTTATCATGCCTTTCCATAAGGGTGGGAATGTAAAGAAGGTCTACAACTATGTCCACATCCTCACGATTTCCTCCTGAAATTCATCCTTGAAAAGAATATCCTGGATGAATAGAATGTGGCACGAATCTCACTTTGTTATCTAAGATTCATTCGTACTACTTTCCAATATCGAGATATTAGGGAGGGATCAAAATGGCCGTAAAATAGTGATTTTTCTTTTTTTCAGAATAGAAATCACTAGTATATAGATCTATTATATATTTCAGTTCTATTTGATAACCTGTTCTTGAAAAACAGTCTAGAAAAAAAAAGCACTTTTTAAATTTGTAATTTCCAGGGCTCTTTGTAAAACATTGATTAATAATCGAAGGCTCAATATTTCTGACAATATCTCGTGAAAACTCATAAAACTCTTGTCCATACAATTGATCTTAATTTGAGCAAGATCTGACGATCTCGATTGAGCACGTTTACTGTAATTTCGGCCGTGGCTTAAGTGCAATTGCTGCTCATATAGTATAATTCACTCAGTTTCATGTTCATATATGGATGACGGTAAAATTTGCGACATGATTTTTCTTTCATCTCAGGTAGTGATGATGGTTTCTTTCATAAATTATTTCTCTTCATCATTAAAAGCAACAATATCATGAATATTACCGACAGCTGTTACTTAACTGTACCATTGAGACTGTTTGTTTTTCTTTCTCTCTGTTCGATTTCATTCAACTTATTAATTTAAAAAAAAAGGCTTTAAAAAAAATAAATTAAAAAGAAAAACAATACTAGGTGGAGAAGCAACAAAACTCAAATCGCTTCCATCACAGTAGAAGGTAAATAGAGGTAAGAAGTAACGAACTTGCAATTGAAAACATCATACATAAAATACAGCAATTTCAAAAAATTAGGAATGATACTTTACAAACGATAAATATAAATTAAATCTTTTTACATAGTAGAAACCATGTAGAAGCTTCAAGAAGAATAGTAACCAATGCGTTCTTGTCTCAAATTGCATTATACTCAATTCAATCACCGATGAACTTACATCACCTCGTAATCTTCACCAAAAATATTCGCTTTTCAGATTTTTTTTCTCTTTTCATCCTACATATACTTTTAAATGTCTTTCATTCACTGAACACATCTTGAGAATCCTAACATGGTTTTCAAGTTTAAAAAAGAACTGAAACGAAAAAGAATTTTCTAAATGAAAATAGCAATATTTTCAATAATACTGTAACTGAATAGAAATTTACTTTTCACTCCAAATTTTATTGAATCACCCTCGCTCCTAAGCTATAGTATTGTAGATCGGTCTGAAACGTTTTCCATACATGCTAGATAATGTTTCAGGTGCCGACTTTTTTCGTTTTAAAATTATAGTATCTGCGATTTTTTTACAAATCTTGGAGATCATCCCTGTTGAAACTAGTGCAGTTTCCGTGATGCGTGTTATCAATGAAAAAAAACTCCGTTTGATCGAACATTGTCTGACTGAGAAATAGAAGCGATAAGATGAGTAATATTTCATGGTATGGTTCTTGTATCTTTTCAAATGAGACGTCTAAGACGTTTAACTCTATGATGAATTTTGTTCTACTTATCGTAATCGAATTTTCAACAATTCCAGAATAGTAAGAAATGATGTTAAGTTCAAAATCGTATATAGATCATAATCGCTATATCAAATTTTTTCATAGTATTTCATATTCCACATCTTCAGATTTTAACTTAATGTTTTGTTTATTTTCGTTCAGGCTAACATAAAAATGTATTGTGTTTTACAATGCAATATAGGACACAATTAATTGTTACATGAGATACTCATTGTAGCGCATTTTTCCGATCGACTCTGCGATATACACTGAATGTATGGTTTAAATATATTCGTCTCGTCCGTAACTTTTTCTTTGAAAGTAAATAATTTCTAGTCTTCAGTTGAATTCGAATAAAGCGTATATTGGATACTGAAGAGTGTAAGACGTAGGTACCTTGAGTTAGTGTGAACTCGATTAGATCATTTCGAGGTAGTTCTTTATCGATCATGGACAGATTTCTCAGCTTGATATTAAACAATGACTAATTGAGATGCAATGTAGAAAAAAAAAAGACGTGCAACAATGTATAATTTCAGTATGTACTAGTAAGTCAGCTATACGTAGCCGTACATACAAAACAAAACGGTGAGAGAATGCTTAGTATACAGATCAGAGATTCAAAAAGGTCGAGTTCTTGTTGATCTGCATAGCCCATGGCAAACTATGAATTCCCTCAGTATACTTGTGACAGCTCATATATGTTTGTTCATGCTACTTTTATAATGATATTTAAATCAAAGCAGATGAGTGTCTTGATAAGAATATAAAAAAATCATGTAAAATAGTNTTTTATCAAATATATATTATAAAAATTCTAACTTGAATTTAGTTCATGGCAATGTCAATTACGTTTTTATTGGCTATGAAAAGAAGGTAATTTATTTTTACAACAATGCAATGGAAAATTTGAATATGTTTTAAAACGATAGTTCTCAGTAGAGACTTTTAATGTTCTTTTGTTTTTCGTGTAAAATAGGTTATGACTATATGGGTCTTAATGGTCGTCTTGTTATTACACCATTAACTGATCGAATTTATCTAACAGTTACACTAGAATTTGTCAATGCTTCTTGGGGGTGCACCAGGTTTGATTGATGTATATAACATAGAATATTGAAAAGATATTCGTCACTTTTTTTATAGCCGGACCGGCAGGTACTGGAAAAACAGAATCAATTAAAGATCTTGCTAAAGCTATGGGTCTTCTTTGTGTTGTTACTAATTGTGGTGAAGGTAAAATTTTCTTTAGTATTCATTAATTCAGCTCAGAGATCGAACCAATCATCAAAAATCCAGATCGGTTTCATCACTGGTATAATTTCTCCTAACTTTTAGGCATGGATTATCAATCAATAGGTAAAAATTGAAATAGTTTATGTCAAACAGGTGCTTGGGGTTGTTTTGATGAGTAAATTATTTAACTGTTCTTTTTTTAATATTCTAATTAATAATTATTTAATAAAAAAAAACAGATTCAATCGTATTGAAGCATCTGTTATCAGTGTAGTTTCTGCTCAAGTAAAAAGTATTCAACAAGCTTTATCATTACAAGATAAAGAATTTTTTTTTTGAACACAATAAAATTCAACTTCTATGAACTGTTGGTTTATTTGTAACAATGAATTATGAGGATTTATAAACGAATTGAGGTATATAATAGTATTTTGAGACCTGTTATTGATATAAAATATGAAAATGAAAAACAACGATAAAGTAGGAAAAAGACTAACAAAATTAGAGCACCAATAAAAAAAAGGAAAACATTTTTATTCGAAATTCAGAAATAAATCAGACAGATGATTTTTCTGGCGATCGATTATCCTTGAAAAACAACTATAATCTGCTACAGATTTTTTGTCTGACGTACTTTCTATTAGTATCGCGAGACTAGTGAATACATATGAATTCCACATTTTAGCTCAAAAGGATCTGTGTTGATAAGATTTTTTTTTTGATATTAATAAATTTACTTTCATTGTTCCCGATATGCTATATATTCGAGAAATAAAATTATTTGCTAATGGATTTATACACCCAAATATTTTAGCTAAAAAAATGGTAACATTATATCGTTATGCATCAGAAATACTTAGTAAACAAGTATATTAAATTTAAAGAGAAAATTATTTTTTTTTGTTTTTTTTTTTGACATTTTAGTTTCATTATGATTAAGGTTTAAGAAGTTTTAAATCTGTTTCATCAATGACAGGATATTTAAAACGAACATCAATGAATATACCAAAATTTATTTATGATGATGTTAATTTATTTCTTACATTATTAAATGATTTATTTTCAAACATTCATTGTCCAGAAATATCATATAAAAATTTTAATCTAATTATTAAAGAAATATTAATCAAACCACAATATATTTTAGTTTCAGAACAATTGGTCCAACAAGGTAAAAGAATTTCTTATCATTATTAAAAGAAAAAACAAAAAAGAAAAGATTTTATTTTGATTTTAGTGGAGGGTGGGGTGGGGTGTGGGTATGAGTAGTGTTAAAGATGAAACTCACAACCAAAGCTACACGCACACCCCACACCCACACATCCACACCCACACCCACCCACACCCACACCCCACACCCACACCATACCCACCCAGGGCATACACTGCGGTTTATAAAACCGGTAATAACCTCTAGAATGAAAACCGCGGTTAAGAATGTATATACCGCGTTTTTCTGTAAACGCTGTGCAAAAAACCGCGGTGAATCGCGGTTTACATGGGTTATCCAAATGACACCGCGGTTTTCCTAACATAATTTCTACATGGGTAGATTAGAAAACATCATTATCGTCATTTAAGTAGAATATAAAATTATGAATGATAAAAAAACTTTGATGAATCGCGATTTTCAATAGAAATAGAAAAGGCATTGGCAAAAATCGTCTTTTTGGCAACCAAACTTAAGTTCAATAGTAATAATCATTCAGCATTTATTAACATTTTGACTGATGAATAAACACTATTCAACATTAAATAAGGTTTGATGCAAGAAGAATACAATGAAAAATTTGATTTAAATCTAAAACCAATAGAAATATTTCTGACTAGATTTGATCTATAGATCGAATTTGTACAAGACGCTTGAATAGTTTTCTAAATCTGTAATAATTATCGATGTAATTCTTTTATTTTGTTAAAAGGAAACAGTGAAGAGTAACACTATGGTACATATACTGTTGAAACAAATAAAACAAACAAACAAAAGCAGAATATTGCAAGAAATAGATTTCGGAGAAAAATAATTTCTATCAAGATGTTCGTGTAAAATTCAAAGTGCTAGAATATCAATACAAACATTAAATATATCACCAGATTCTTCATTTGCTTTTTCTATTTGTTTTAATTGCAATACTAACAGTTTTTGTCATATCATCTTGTCGTAATAAATTTTCTTTTGTTTTTAGAAATATTTTATCTTGTATTGATTATGATATTAATGGTTATGGTAACGAATATAAAAAGTGTAAAAGTATTATAAAAATTTCTACTGTCGAATAATTCGTAAAATTATAATCATATTCACAGATTTGATTATGTATTGGTATTCAATCAAGTGAATCTTATATTTCATTATTAAATATATTAAGCAAATCAACATCATTACGTTCTCTTAAACAATTAATTAATGCAATAAAAATGATTCGTAGATCATTAATCATTTCTACAAAATGTTCTGAATAATGTTTATTATCATTTGTATAAATATATTTTTTATTTTCATTATCATAAAGTGTCCATAGATGTTCATCTAATGATAAACCAAATAAACCATTATCTAATATTATGTCTTATATAATAAACATATTAACACCATATTCAAAATGTAAAATAATTATATAACTTATTTGATTATATATACAGATGTACAGTCACGAATATTTTTAATAGTTAAAGAATAATTTGGTTTATCTTAATAACGTATATGATTAAATATAATTTGTGAAGGTCGTGAATGAACTTCAATTGTTGGTATTGAATCATTTTCTATACCATCAAATTCACGTATTAGTTCTTGACGAATACAATTTGAACGTTTTTCATCACATTCATATTTAATAATAACTAAATATAAACTATTAACTGGACGACGATTACTAAATTAAAATATTTGTTGTCCATGAATAGTATGTTGTTTGACGTGTTTTTAATTCATTTTGATTATCATTAAGAACTTTTGAACAATATAAAATACGATTAGTCCGTGATGGTGTACGTAATTTTGCACTTGTATCATAATTATTTGTATTTATATAGAATCTATATGTTGGTAAAAAGTTAATACATGGCTAGTAATAAAAATATGATCTAATTTCATGTCACAACGTAATTGATCTTTTTCTTCTATGGAAACAATTGATTATTCACTTATTGCGCTACGAATTTGTTCATATAGTTGAGATATTCGATAATTTATTTCACCACACCATAATATTATATCGTGATTGATTAAGATACATAAAAAAAATATGTTGTAGTTCATTTTTTAAAATTCTTCGTTGTTGCTCTCTTTTCAGAGCTATCTGACAGTGTGTTATTTCTAAAAGCAAAATATTTGTTCGTAAAGTAAAAATAATTTAGTAAAAGAATATGTGAGAAGTAGATACAATCCATATAATCACACTATTTGACCAATAAAAACGTTCAATTCTATTATATTAAATTAAGGTAAATACAGGTGTGTAGAGAAGTGAATTGCAAATCTTCCAAAATTAAATCCCAGATTTTATCTTTTCTGTAACCTGTGATATATGCAAACCACAAAATGTTGAAAAAATTTTTGTGGCGCCCGGTATTATATGAATACATATAATTATTTCTATAATAAAAAGGAGACCATACCCCATGATTTAGTGGAAATTTCTCGGTAATTTGAAAAATTTCTACTAATTTATGGCGTAGAATGTTCTTTATTATATGAATAATGAAATATGTTCATATAATATACTTCAAGGATTTTCAGAATTCACTGAAATTTCGTGGCAACTTCTTTATACGTTTCTGGTTTGTATTTCTAGTGAATCATGATGCTGCGATGGAGATTTTCATAGATGGGAAAATTCACTTTTCTGGAAATCTGAACATGCCTCTTTCAGAATCATACTAAACAAAAATTGTCCTATTTTTTGCATTAATCTAATGCAGATGTATTTTCATTATAACCTCTCTTCAACAATATACATCAACTGAAATTTTTGTGATTCAGAGGTTATTTCCTATTCGGTCATCCTTCTTTTAATTCATTGTACAATAATATTAATGATATTCATTACTGTATCAGTCAGAACAACAATGTCCAGATATTGAACATTATAAGATGTATTTATGAAAATAAAAATGATTCAGAGACAGCCTTTTCTGTATCGGAATTCAAATGTATCTCTCCATCAATGTAACGATATTTACTGATTTCATTTTAATATATTGATGACGGATTAGAGTTGCGTTATCACTATCACCGATATAAATATAAACTATACAGTAGAAAAGAGGAAGTATAGAAACTGAACGATAACGGTTATTTAACGTTAGATTATCATTTTATGAAAAATTAGTGGCTAATCGCAGAAAAACCTTATCTCATTCACATTCTGATGTTTTTTTAAATAGAGGAAAATAGTCGATGTGTTTTATCAAAACTGGAATGTGATTATATTCTTAAAAGTAAAAGAGCATGTTTTATATAAGATTAATACAACGCAACAAAACACTTGTAAGCTGATAGGTCTTCATCTAAATTTTAAGGTCTAGTAGGTTGATCATTGGTATATATATATTGTATAATTTTCTTATTGATAATAGAAATGTGTACAGTCGCTATGAGTGTGAAATATTGATGCAATTAGCTCATTTTTCCGAGAATAGTGTTCATTCATGTTTATGTTGAATGATCAGAATCAATTTGGCCATTATAGTTTATACATATATATATATTCTTTAGAATTTGTTTTGCTTCATTATTATAATTAGAATGAGCAATAGCACAGGTGAGATTATCAACAAGAGTTACTGCAAGATATTATTATTATTTTTTCAATAGTATTTATTAAAATCAAAGATTGAAAAAAATATGACAATTTAAAGCCAGTTCATTCTCGGAATTTCAGCTTTTTGTTTATAAAGTGTTGCAAGCTCGGTTTGAATACCTTTAACATTTTGCATAATTTGTTTTACTGAATAAAATACATTTCCAAGTGCCAAACGTTCACGCATTGATCGAGTTATATTAATTTGTCGAACAATTTCAGTTACTGGCCAATTCAAACCAGTTGAAAGAATTCGATAAACAGCAGTACCAGGATAAACATGACGACCTTTCTTTGATTGTTCTATCCACCAATTAAGAAGTACAGGATAAGATTGTGCTGGTGGATCAATTTGCCAATAAAGTTGTGGCGTCAGATAATCAACTAAACCTTGTTCTAACCACATTCGACTATCAGCATATAAACTATCATACGATGATAAACCAGTAATACCAGCTGGTATACCACTTTTCCATATTCCAAATGGTGAAATACCAAATTTAACTTTTGGTTTAATTGCATGCATTCTTGTATACATCGTCTGAATTAGAGTATTTACATTTGAACGACGCCAATCATTTTTATTTAATTTACCACCTGTCTGTTGATATGCCGTGTAAGTTTCTGCATCAGGAAATTCAGTTCCATCACTATACGGATAAAAATAATCATCCATATGTATACCATCAACAGCGTATCGACGAACAATATCTTCGGTAACATTAACAATAAATTGTTGCACTTCAGTTGAGCCTGGATCCATCCATATATATTTATTATATGTGTAAGCATACTTTGGAAATCGTTTAGCCATATGATTTGATGCAAGTTCATAGGTTGCACCAGACATTCGAGCACGATATGGATTGAGCCAAGCATGTACTTCAATATTACGTTTGTGAGCTTCAGTTACAATGAATGTCAATGGATCCCATAATGGTAATGGTGCTTTACCATGTGTACCAGTTAAATACATACTCCATGGTTCTAATGTGGAAGCATAGAAGGCATCACCAACAGGACGAACCTTATTATTCAAAACGATATTACTTCAGAAACAAATCTAGTTTGTCTTTTGTATTACCTGAAAAACAACAGCATTCATATTCAATCTTTGAACTGTATTAAGAATATTGATTAATTCGGCTTGCTGTTCAGTTGGGGTGGCTGTTCTTGATGAAGGCCAGTCAATATTAGTTACAGTAGCAATCCAAGCAGCACGAAATTCTTCTTTTATGGGACTTAATGAAAAGCAACATTTTATATTTACTGGTTGCGATTCACATAAACCTGATTGATATAAGGCATTAGAACATTGACTAACATCAATACATTGACCAATACCGTATTGTGGGTGATTGTACTTATCACATGTATCTGCTTTCACTTGGGATGATGAAAAACTCAAAAGACTTAATAACCAACAAAAAGCAGCTATCAAAATCATTCTATGTAAATTCAAAAATAAAGTTACATAAAGCACGTCTTCGTGTTTTTTTATGACATCTGCCTCTTTTCCCTAGATAAATACGCCCATTTTTCGAACTATCACTTAAAAAAAAAGAGCGCGATATTTTTCAAGATAAAAGCCGATTTAACTGCCGATAGCATCGGCACACTGATATTTCGACACATTCTCTGCCCACTAGGGATCGATCGTCAATAATTGAAATAATCCTCAAATAAAAAAAACTCTGGCAATTCTGATTAAGGATATGATAATGAATATCATAACTCATCACTGTATAAGTTCACGAAATGTTTCAACCTTATGTTTATTTATCTTCGAATTCGACCTGGCTACAGAGCCTGTAGGATCCGAGTCCGAAAGTATTGGACGTGACATACTCTAGTCGTCTGAAAAATGTGTAAGATACACTAGTCACTGAATAAAAAACACCGGAAAAAAATATCTTGTATCTTCGGATTCAATCTGATGGTCTCAACCTGGCTCATATATAATAATATTTAAAGTAGAAATATTTCATGTGATTAAATTTTATTGAGTTAGATTCCAACCGAAAACAACGAAGAACTTTTTAGATTATGTAGCTTCTGTAGTACAATAGCAAGTGCCTTCTCTCGAAATTTGCTAGCTCATAAAAATACTTTCCAACATTATGTTCTGATGTCGACACAGAATTAATCATTCGTGTATACATTAGAATATGAATAGTGAAAATGAATAATTTGTCTACTTAAAAATAACAAGTACATGATGTGTTCTCTTTATGAAAATTTTTTCACCGTTAGGCGCCTAATTAAAAACAAAATCTGATTAAGTTTATTTTTACCTAAAATTCAATTTTATCTATCTGTGATATCTATTTTGCGGTGATGACTCATTCAAGAAATGATTTGATAATGCTTTTAACCGATTTTCTTATTAATTAACTTAAATAAAATCATTATCTTTTCTTGTTTTGAAAATCCGCAGTTTTTTTATACATTACCGATGAGAATGGTGCATTATAAGTTTATTGTTGCTGATTGAAACTTGCTTCCACTTTCTTGTAAGCAATAAAGTGGAATGAAATGGATGATTATCAGAAACAATTATTCATGTAAAGGTACTTCTGATGTCAGGGACACATAACACATAATAAGAGTGGGTTTTATTTTTCATTAATTTACGTATGGTCCGATAGAGCTTGAAGAGCAAGTTATGGATATATACTTTCCATTTCAATTAGGTTATCTCTTCAGTGCTAAAAGCTCCAAATATTGATAAAAACACAGATATTACCAAAATCACTTTTTTCTCAAAACAATTTATAAGTTTCAAAGAGTCTTTTTTCTAAACTCCTTGAAGATAGCTTTTTTCCTAATTCAACAGCAAAAATTGAATAGGAAAATATTATTTTCTTAGATTCAAAATAAGCAAGGTAAAAAAAGCAGCTGTCTATATGAGGAGGCTTACAGCATGCCTTCATCAGCACTTCTGTAAACCTATCTATTATTGACGAAATGTGATGGGTCAGCAATTGACCATTCAGGTGAGTTCTTCGTAAAGATTGTGATAGCCAGCTTCTGTAACCAGTTCTCACTGGGTTTTGATTTCTAATATGACTAATCAGTAGAACAAAGTTTTCTCTTTCGATCTACACAAATCTCAATTTCTCAGTTGCTTCCGTTCAACATTCACAAAAAGATTTTCTTGATACCTCGATTTTAGCAATTGACCATGGAAGACTCCAAAAGAGCTTCAGACAGAGGTAGGTTACTCATCATGTTGAATCGAATGATGATGCTAGTTTTTACTTTCAAAGCTACATGAAATCATTATTTTAAGATTTTCAAAAGTTCGATCTTCGCGTTGCTAAGAAGAAATTCGCGAAATTTCAAAAATATTGAACAAGTGATTCGAAGTCGCTTTGACACTGAAAATAAATATGACTGTTCAAGTCAGCGCGATGAATAATCCTTGTCTAAAGTTCTTTTGGGGTCTTCCAAGGTCATATTGCTGAAATTGGAATCTCAGGAAAACCCTTGTGAATATTGAGAGGAACTAGAGGCGATATTGAGATTTACATAGATCGAAAGAAAAGATTTTGTCTTACTGATTGGCCATATTACAAGTCGTAAATACTCAGAATCAGCGTGAAAACCTACACCGAACCACACACCTTTCAGGAAAGTCTGTGTCGAATGGTAGATCGACTAGATGAGGGCCACGAATAAAATTTCGGAAGAATAATGTTGAGAGGGAGTAAAAGTGTATTTTCCGTGAAAAAATAATCGCGCTAAAATATATATGGCGATAAATAAAGACCGATTTGGCCATTGTACTACTAAAATGAGTCAATGCTCGATTTTGTCAACAATAAAATAATATCTGAAAAAAAACTAAATGAATACTTTTGTAGCTCGAAACTAGCTGATTGAAATGAGATAACACATTTGGTCTTATTCTCTATCACAAATAAACTAGTTAAGCTTCCAAAAGTGTTTATGCATACATACGATAAGCCTGCCTATATTGAAAGCTGTTTTTAAACCTTATGTATTTAAAACCTAGGAAAATAATATTTTTCTACTCAATTTTTAATGTTGAATTTTAAAAAAAATTAGCTATATTTGTACTCTTATCAGTATTTGAAGCTTTTAGCACTGAAGGGGTAGCCCAAGGGGGAAAAACCGAGACTTCATAAGTTGGAGTACAGCTGAAGTCTATATGAAGTACGAGGAGTACGTACTCACTGGACTCCACTGCACTTCAGCTGTACTCCAACTGATGGAGTCTCGCTTTTCCCCCCTGGGATAGCCTCATTAATATATAATATATCTATTCAAAAATAAGCTCTTCAATTCTATTGAGCCATATATAAATCAATACAAAATCAAATTCATTCTAATTTTGCGTTGTGTACCTTATATAAAATTAAAAAAAGGAAGAGTGGAATGGCTTCAACTCACCAACTATGTTTGCCTTCCACTAAACCGCATATTTTTATGTACATAACAATAGAAGTACATGTTTTACTTTTTCGGAATACATCTCTGAAGACTTTTTTATTTTATAAAATTTCTCTTCTATATCAATTTTGTTAATAAAATCAAATATTGCAAAGACAATACTATTTAATACAAAAATTTCAGTAGAAATCTTCAACCGGTTATTAATATTTGTGTACTAAATTTCTTATAAAGTACAAATCTACTGTTAATTCTCTTTAACGAAGCAAAAAAAGCATGCATAACTTCAAATCAGACTTTATTATGTAGATTACAATTTTTTGAATTCTATCTACTAGAAATAAATCATTCTTTCAAACAAGATTTGCATATTAATTAATCATATCGTTATATTGTAGTGAATACTGATAGAGTTATGATTGACTAGTTTAAAATAGTTTTATTTTTCATGTTGATAATATCACTATTATTCTAAACTATATTAATCCATTTGTAAATAATCTTCTCTCAGCTATTATTTTGATAATTTTAATTACATGAAAACGAGCTGCAATTTCAACAAAAAATAAGACGTAATTATTTACACATGAGAATCTAACATGAGGTTCACATTCCATATGTAAGTTGATCCCTTGAGAGAAAACAAGGAATGTATCTTGATTAATCTAGTTACTGTTCTTATAACGTTTGTTTCTATCTTAATTTATTCTTTCATTTGTATTAGTTTTGGATCGATTTAAAGTTCACTGACAATGTTATCATCTGATTATTTCCCACTTAACAATATATTTATCACAAGTATTCTAATAAAAACTCGATATTTCATCATCATCGTTTTACAAAGACAAATTTCATGTCATAAAACATCATAATAAAACGACTAAATGTCGAGTGTTTATAAACTGAAGATAATAATAAAGATCTTAAATAGTATTCAATAGGCTCCGGTTCGAGTCCGTAAAAACATGAATTCACTGCTCTCTAGTGTTCAATACAAACGAATAATCAGATATTGACAAGACCATAGTTGACATGTTATTTGCATATCTGTGTTTTTCTGTTGAAAAGATTATAAAAGAGAACTATCAACGTCGCAGAAAATCATATAACTCTCCTTGCTTTTTGATGGAGCTGATAAATACTTTGACATGGTTAATCATTTTCGGCAGCAAAATTTAATGTTTACATATAATAGTAGAATTCTATTCGAATCACATTGAATCAATGAAAAATCTTTATGATTCATCGATTGTTTTCTTGTTCATAATTGGAAAAAATGAATTTTCTTTTTGTCTTAGAAAGTTTCATGATCAACATACACCTTAAACAACAATAAAAGAAGAAAAACGACTGAATGAAAAAATGAAACTTTAAAAAAAAAATGAATAATAAATATAATTAAACACAAAAATCATTTAGTAATCTGTTCTCGAATATAACGTATAAATTCCACGTAAGACATTGTCGATTCAGATTTGTCATCCACAAGATAACGTGTAAATAAATATCGATTTGATGAATCTTCCCTATTAATAAATAAAATACATATTTAATTTTTACAAAAATTAAATTAATTGAAATAAACCTCATAATATGTATTGCAGTACCATTTGGTCGACTTTGAATAAGATAAGTTAAAAAATTATGAATTTTCGATGATAATGGATTGTCTAAGTCTGGTAATGAATACTAAAAAAAAAAAAAAAAGCAACAGCAATTATTAAATTAACTAAAAAAGTAATATTTTTTGTTTATTTACTGAATCAAATGGTAAAGCCGAAAATGTTTGAACATTGAAAACATTTTGCACAAAATGATCACTTATTGCTTTACCTATATAAATATAAATATATTCACTTGTATCAAGTATATAAGCGCCATGTGAATCAATATATTGAAATGATAACTGAACACGTTCAGGTACATGTAATTCATCTTCACCATCTTGAAGTATTTGACTCTAGAAAACCGAAAAAAAAAAAAGAAAGTTGTCAGTACAAACTCTATTGAATTAAAATGTGAAACACGATGTAGCTGCTGTTGCTAATCATAGAGAGATTGTTATATTGTATCTATCATGGAACACATCTCGCCAACATTCTTCTCCAGAAATGGAATAAGAAAGTAGTTCATGAGATGTTATTGATATACGGTCTTTGAGATTGTATATCAACAACGTTTGTCATTGTTTGTGTGTGTGTGTGTGAAATAGAAAGAGGGATGCAAATTTCTACCTGACACACTTGAACACTCTTGATAGATCGAGTTTCATATTAAAGTGAAAACAAAAGAAGAAGCGTCTATCAATCAATAAAATGGATATGAGCATTTACCGATGGATTTTTCGGTTTTGTATGAGTCTAAATTAAGAAAGTATCCATATTATTGATTTGATTTTTCTAAATTTATCACATAGATCATATGATTGGATGAAAAATAAGTCTATTAAATAAATAATTTCATTTCAGTTGATTTACGCTTATTAATCCTTTACACTCAGATACTCATTTAGTAGAGTTGGTGTTAAGTCAACTATAGGAATAGCTTAAACAGGATAATGCATCCATCTCTATTGGCATAACAATTGAATTTATTGTTTTCTACAACTGTATGTTATTATTTTAGCTGTATAAAGCTAAAAAATCTATTAATCATAGATTATTTTTTGAAAAATGATTCATTTCGAAGTATTATATATGCTTGAACAGACTGTTTTCAGATTGAAATCAAGTCTTTCATTGTGAGCGTCATTAGTCTTCGTTTTCTTTTTATAATATCGAATCTTTAATAGTACATTCGAGAGCGAAGGTCATAACATAAGCTGCAAGTTTCTATCTTTGATTGGTTATTGATTTTAATCAAATTTTTAGCATGAAAATTGTGTTATTTTTTCGAAAAAAACAATTTTTCATATTAGTCACTACTAATGAATCAAAATTGAGTCAACAGACGGTAAAGGATTAATCGAATTCACGTGTAAGAAAAGACTCCAAGATATTCTATTATTTATTTAGTCAAATTCATTTTCTATGTGAATTAAAAATATATTGTTCAAAGTAGAAATTCATGAGTTTCGACATCTCAAGAGACGAATAGCATATTACTTTCTATGAAATATATCAATATGATTTCTCTAGCGAATATTTTCTATCTTAATAAATAAATATCTTTTTACCTTATCCTCAATGGTATGAATTGGATATAGATCTGGATAAAATATTTGCATTAAATATTGCGTTGGTAATGTTTTACATAAATCTAAATAATATGCTCGATCATCAATTTTTGTTGCACTACCAGCTCGAAATGCCGTCTAAATAAATTTAAAAAAAAAAACAAGAAATCAAATTTATTTAAGATACTTTCTTAAATTTTCTCGCCTACCGATTTAATCATGCTTAACACATATAGAGGTAACAATCGTAAGGAATTAGGTACAACAAGTGAAAATCCTCGATTTGACGTATTATTCGGCATTGTTGCTTTAAGAACATCACAAGCAACGTTACATATTGCTTCTCGTGCTTCTTGTAATGATGATGTTGCTGATCGATCAGCCGCTAAACGAAAAATACATATGAATAGAATTTAAAAAATATGACAAACATTAATTTTACCCATTTTTGCAACTAATGAAACTACGGCTTCTTGATCCGCATTTGCAAATATATCGGTTAAATTAGCACTAACCGGTAATGAAAGTGTATGTACTCGAATTCGTCTTTCACCTAATTTAGCATAAAGAAAAAAATTTGCATATATTTTGATTGTTCATTTTACCTTTGCTTGATGTATAAAGAAGTGCTACTTGAAATGCTACTGTTTTATATTGCGCTAATGAATCATCAATAGATACTTGCATTCCATATGCTGCATCAGGATTTATATTTGGTAAAACAAGTAAATCAACAGAACGAACAAAACCATTTCCATGGAATGTATGAATTGAAAGAGCTAAAATTTATATAATTAAAATATTGAAGAGAAGAAAATAAAAATAAAAATAATTAACCTGGTGGTGATCGTAAACGCATAACAGCTTCGAATCCAATTTTTCTTTGTAAATATCGTCTTAAATCATTTTCAAAACGTTCAACTTCATTCGGTGTTTGAACATAATGAAAACCTGGATAATATTTTACTTCACCACCTGAATATTTCGATATACCACCTAGAAAATAAGTCATAAATATATTTTAAACGTTCATAAGTGTTTAGATGACTTTTAACTACAGAAAGGAACATATATAGGTTTCTAGAGAAAGAATTTCTCTTTACTAATGGAATCAGAAAAAATGTAGGGAGATTCAGTCCCCGTTTGAAATTGAAATGAAGATATTTTCTTCTCTTATCACATGGGAACTGTCCCACCCTCGTGTCGTCTCATGGAAATTGAGTTTCAGCTTCAAATTTTGAACAAACAAAGTTCTCAATGAGTTTAGTTCATTGAGCAAGCTGTAAATTTTCTAGTATCTCCTATCTTCAAATATGAAATATTCGAAATTTTCTTATGTATAAGAGCAATTTTTGTTCATATATTTACATATCCAGCAATGGAACACTAGTTGCACCAAACGAACATCATCTCTCATAAGTGTATGCACTTTCAAGCTCTACCGCAAACACTTGTGATATATCGATAGATGGCATCACCTTCATCACGACGAAAGTAAGGCCACCTATGAACATGACAACGATACGTAGTAGAATTTGATAGTGTATACGTGATTTAATGGAAGACGTCTTTCTTCACAAGCCCATATATATATATCCCGTTCTGTAGTCAAAATCTTATAGCCTATTTTCAAAAATAGATCAAGCATACTTAATGTTGTTAAGTCAATGTAATGACTATTGAGAAGAAATAAATCACAAGCTATTTGTTGTGATGCATAATCAAGTGAAATTTTTTTATAATAATCTGTTGTTGGTCCAATAGATGTTGGTTCTTTTCCTACATTCTCATTTAAAGCACCGGGATTTATATTAGGTATTCGTGTTTGAATAACCGTAACTCGACCACCAGTATTATAAAGTAATTTTCCAGCTATAAGAAGAGCTGTACCTAAGGCTGAATCAGTTTCAGGATTATTTTGATAAACTTTTGGTAATTCATTAAGAAATGTTTCAACTATTGTTCGACAATCACATAATGTTACCATTAAACCATCAGGTAAAGGAAGAAATTCATCTAATTTATTTTCAATATTTTCTATATCAGGTGCAACCATAATACGAAATGTACCATTTTGTCGATCGGATAAATCGTAAAAATGTATTCGACTATCATAAGATATAAAACCTATTTTTGTACGTGCATCACCTGGTAAACTACTTAAATTTTCAAATAAAATATCACAAAATGGTTGAAGATAGCCTGAAAAGTTAAATTATATATGAATATTTATAAATAAGTAATTAGTTTATTATTTACCTGTTTGAACAGCATTATGTGAAACATCAAGTAAAAATAAATACATAGCTGGTTGTGGTGGTCTAGCCTAAAGTTCACATTCAATTAAAGAACGAGAAAAAAAGTATTTTAATCTAACCATATAATCTGATGAAGCTGTATATTCAACAGTACCAAATCGAGCTTCTGGTCTTCTACTTGGATCACCATATGTTTTAGTTACTGGATCAAATAGAAATTCTTGCGGTACTATAATAATAACAACAAAATAAAATACGGAAAAAGATAATGATTAAATATTTACAATCATTAAGACGAAAACAGATACTACAACGCCATCGTGTAGTATCTTGGAATATAACAAATGGATTAATATAACTTTTACATGCATCACATCGAACGATTTTTGTACCTTGAATAACACTTAAACTCTTGAAAAACCAAGAAAAAAAAATGAAAAGATGAGACTATAATAAAATAAATAGTTTTACTTCAAGATCTTTAAATGGATGAATAAGAACGCCAAGTGGAAGACGACTTTTATTAAGTAAATCTTTTGTTTGTGGAATAGCATTAAGACTACATCGCATTACTCTATAAAAAAATGTTTTCTTCTTTTTTTTTTTTAATTATTCAAAAAATTTAATGAATATTACATACTCTGGACTACAATTCATTTGTTGATTTTCTTCATTCAATAATGGCGATATTGGTAGTTCTTCAGCAAATGGACTAACAACACTTTTTACTTTAAGCAAATCCATTAAGTTATTATTATTCTAAAATAGAAAATCCTATAAAATTGAATTGATTAATTATTATACTTACGGAAATAGGACCATTCATATTATTAATTTGTTGATTATCGGTAGTAGCTGTACTACCACCCATGGCATAAGGCATTGGTTGTGGTAAAGGTGGTATTTGTCCTACCTGTCCGGGATAGGTAGATGCTAAATACGGAGTGGTTTTAGTGGTCGCAGAAGTATTTGAATTGCTATTGTAATGTGGATAAGGATAAGTTGATGAAGGTGGAGGTGGTGGTGGTGGTAATGGTTGAGAATTTTGGTTCGTCATTTGAGGATATGTTGTTTGTGGAACAATTTGAGTTTGTTGTACTTGAGGACGATAAGCAGATGCTGGTGAAGGATACATTGGACGAATGGTTGGTTGTGAAGATGGACTATGTGTTGTTGGTGGTACAGATGATATATATTGATGATTCTTAATAGATAGATATGATATTAAATATCGATGCAAAATGAAATGTAATCTTACTGAAAGAGGATTATAAATATTTGTTGCTGCTGGAGTCGGATTCATTTTTGTATTATAGATATTTGATGGTAGTGTTGGACTTGAATTCTGTTGATTGGTTAAAGTTGATTGATATTGTTGTGTTGGAGGAAAGATAGGTGTATTAGTTTGATATGTATGTTGATTGGATTGAGAAGATAATGTTGAAGAATTTGGCGGGAATATTGGAGGAGTTAAACCATTTGCTATCGAGTGAGATATGGGAGGAAAAATCTGAGTAGAAAAAAAAAAAAGAAGAAGAAGATATATAATATTTTTAAAAAACAGTATTATAAAAACATACTGAATTGTTCATTTTATCAGGAAATGATGGACCATTTGGCGGACGTATTGTTGCCATTTAAATAATTTAATATCTAAATATAAAATTAAAATTTTAATCAATATGGATATAAAAATTTAGGTTCATCTTTTTTACTCCATTGTTGACGTTGTTGAGAGTCCAGCAAGCATCGATAAGTTACAGATGTAACCAATTGTAAAATTCCAAAAACTAACGACCTCTAGTGAATCTTTAGTCATCGCTTAAATTCACGAGTTCTTATCGGTTAGACACTATGACAGATAAATAACTAATTCTATATATTAATAATTTCATATTTTTAGATCGTAATGACAACAACTAACGCTGAAATTCTTCTACTAGGTACAGCTCAAGATGGTGGTATGCCTCAAATATGTTGTCAATGTAAAAATTGTAGTGCAGTATATAGTGGTAGAATATCTCAACAATATACAGTTAGTTTAGCTATTATTGATCGAAGTACAAATCAAGTTTGGCTTATTGATTGTTCACCTGATTTTCGAGCTCAATATACTTTATTACAAAATCATTTTGGATTCAATAATCCATTTAAAATAGAAGGAGTTTTTTTAACTCATTTACATATGGGGTAAGAGAATAAGAAAATATTTTTTTTTTTTATGTATCTTGATTAATTTCTAGACATTATGTTGGTTTATTTCAATTTGGACGTGAAACAATAGATTTGAAAGGTTTAAAAGTGCGTTAGATTTAAATACTAAACAATAATATATTGTTTTACAATAGATTTATGGTACTGAAAGTGTTTGTCAATTTTTTCAAACAAATCAACCATGGTCAACATATATTAAAATAGGAAATTTTCTATTAAATCCTATATTACCTCAAAATGAAATTCAACTTTCACCAAATTTATTCATTAAATCTCAACTTGTTCCACATCGAGCAGAATTTAGTGATACTGTTGGATATTTTATACGTGGATCATCACGAAATATATTCTATTGTCCAGATGTTGATAGTTGGGATCGAGGTTGGTCAAATGAAAATGGTTTATTACCAATTGATATTGTTGAAAATGTTGATCAAGCATTTCTTGATGCAACATTTTTCAGTGCTGATGAATTACCAAATCGAAATATTAATGAAATACCACATCCAACTGTTTTACAAACATTAGAAAAATTTAAAGGATTAGAAAATAAAATAACATTAATCCATTTTAATCATTCAAATCCATTATATGATAAACAAAGTAAACAACGCGAACAATGTAATCAAGCGGGTATTAATATTGGTATTCAAGGACGTGTTTATGAAATATAAAAAAAAAACAATAAAATAAATAATTGAATATTGTTTTGCATTGATTTATTTCTGACTTCTTGAAAAATGTTAGTTTAGTAACGATGAATTTCTTTTTTCTTTTATAATAAATCTAAATTATGTATTGAAAAAGTCGATAGAAAAAAAAAGAGTGAGAAAGATTTGTTTTTGTCTTAAATATATTTGTGTGTAAATAAACTTGCACATCAACACAATACATTTCACAAATAGAAATCAAAAAGCTTGAAATAGCAACAACAACATACAATATAATTCTTTCTTTTTTACTCTTCGATTTCATCATAACAATATAAAACGTAATTTCGAATGTTAATTAAAAAAAAAATCTTACCTGCAAGAAAAGCTTTTGAAAAACAACACCAACGTAATAAAGTATAAAATAAAATAGAGAGAGAGAGTCATATTTCACTTCAAATATCTATTTACAGATTTATTCTTTCAAATTTATGTGACACATTTTTTTTTCTCATAAAATATCTGAAAATAGCTTAAAACAAATAATTGGTTTTTTTTTTGTCGAATGATGCAAATCCTTGGTAGAAATAGAGCATTATCAAAATTACGTCGTTCTCTTGATATGATTAGATTCCAATATTAATGAATCGAACAATGATTGTCAAAAAAAAAAACTCTTTAACAGACTCGAAATATCATTAATATATCTGTTGTGATGTAGTTCAATGTATGTTGCGCTTCTCTTATTGATATCGATAATAATAAAGTATTCATGAAATACTCTCTATACTAAAATATTATTTACATTTTTTGTGACAACATAAACTTTTATGAAGAATGGATCAAACAATGGCGGAAAGATAAGAATATATGCACAAACATAGAACAACTATCTATTAACCTTTATAGAACACTACCAAACAATGTAATAAAAATTGAGTTTCTATCAAATTTTATTCCAACTAGTGACTGGAATCATCAATTAGAACTATCGTTAATCTATAGGAAAATCCATAAAGAAATATTATTTGAAATGAAATATGAGATCAGCAATTTTTCATCGTAGACAAAATTTAATGATTATGAAAATATTTTTATCATTATGAAATAAAATCATATTTTCAACTTTGTGAATCGAGAAAAAGAACTTTAAAGCACTTACTTTTCTCGAATGCTCTCTACATATCTGTCAACATTTTAAATTCGCAAACTATCTTTCTTCTAAATATGTGCCAAATAGTCTTCAAGTGATGGAAAAGAAAACATGAACAAAATATATTTTTCACACTCACTTCATATAGATGATGAAAGTAACACTTGTAAACGAATGTAGATAAACTTTCTAGATGTGATGAATACATTCTAATAATCAAAACATGCATCAACATCAGAGATTCGTGAAGCAACTGAAAAACTGTTTCGACTAATATAAAAAAGAAATGATTATCATTTTTTTCTCACGGAATGTATAAACAATTGCGTTGTTTACTTATTATAGATCTAATCGAATACGTCTAAAGTTGACCTTTTAACCAGTAGTACTAAATTGATATTCGACATTCGGTGTAGTTGCTGGAATTCATAAAGTGATCGAGTCCATTCGATCGTTTACAGACCCTTTGAATCATATGACTCGACCTATTTAAGGTTTGAATTTTTATGATTGATCTACATATGTCAATTACTGACTATATTGTCAATCAATTTTAATATTGAAAGAAACTCTTATGTTGTTATGATATAATCCAATCGGACAATATATAAAAAAATAATCTCGAATGTTTTTTTTTTTTTGTTTCTTTCTTTCAAAAAATAAAAGATGATTCATGGGGTTTCCACTTATTTCAATATATCGATCAAAGAATATCTTATCACAACATGTTGCCACTTTCATTTCATATTTTATAATCATAAGTAGATTTGTTAATAGTTTATCATAACTATGTCATACGAATGACAGCAATTGATCTGACATTATTGTTCTATTACAAAAAGACCTCATGATGAGTACTATCGATCGATTAAACTCTTCAACATTTCACTTCATCGATTTTAACACATAGATCAACATTTCTATAACCGTTACTCATTTAATCTATTGGAGTGTTACATACATAGAATAATAAATCGCTATATATATATATCTGATAATGAACATTTATTACATACCACCATCTTTCTAATCTATCATCATCGACTGCTCATACAAATATTCAAAATATGTACTTAGTTTATCGAGATAAATTTATTGATAATATATAATCATCATTGAAAAAATTCATTGTAAACATGCAATCAGATCAAATCATATTTGATGAGATTTTCAATTCTCATGTTCTTTTTTTTTTTTTTTGGTGTCGCCTTCTTTTCAAAATGGATTATCATACATATATATGGAAACAAGTAGTCTTCTCTTTAATCATCAATCAACACATTCTCATTGTTGATTATTCAAATCAGTTATATGTCTGATAGAGACATTGATACTCAAATGTTGACGCCGTGAAGTGGAAGTAATTCAATTCTATATTACACAATCATTACTTTGAACTTATTCTACATTTATTTAATGATGAATGTTTACCAACTGTCTTATAGTTTGCCTTGAACAAATTCTTTTTATTTTTTTCCAATAAATCATCATCATGTCTAAGAATAGAATATAGGTGAAGTTTGAATTTTTTTTTTTTTTTTTTTTTTTTTTTGTCTTTAAGACATGCATAAGCATACATATTTAATTAATCGGAAATAATATTGCAAAAATGATTCCTACAAAGTAACCTTCGATTTTATTCTTGTTTACGAACAGATGCGCGCGTCAAGTCGACAACTGATCAAATAAACAATATTTTTAGCTAATTACAACTAATTATTTCTTGTCAGTAAATTTTAGTAGAACAAGGCACCCAACGGACATCTAGACTAAAGAAGATTATTGTTCCGGTTAAGCTTGACTAGCCTGGAGGCTATGATCAATGTTTAAATAATGACAACTTAATCTTACTCACACATTTTTTTCTCAATGATCAAGTCTGAAGACAACGTTTGTTGCCCTCAAACTATACAATACAGTTTTTTCTTCGAGAGGATATACATTTTTCTTGCTGTCTATCTAATTGATCATTCCTATAAAATACTTTTCTATGGTCTCTTTTTCTTTTCCCATGTGTACATTAATACGGAAGTCAGTTATACATTTATTTTTCTTCTTTTTTTTTTTAGACGAGACACTAAATTCAATTGTAGATTCATAATACACTATTAACAACATTTGATTGTGCAGCTGTTGGTATGCTCATTTAATCAGATCTCAGTTGGAGGTTTCTCGAAATAATAAAGAGAGAAAAAAAAAAGTGCGGGCAGATGTGAATAAGATCAGCTTTTTATGATGATGCCTATTGGGAAGTAAAAAAAGAATGTTATAGGGTGAACCTAATCGGAAGAGAATGTCGAAGCAAGTGAATGAATGATCAGTCTGATGAGATAATGGTGCGTGCCAATTTGCCGCTAAGAAAAAAATAAAGAAAAAGATGAAACGTGTATGTATGTATATATATATATACGTGTATCATTGTTAAAGACTTTCAAACTGTACAATTAGAGACAGCATGAGGCATGTCTTCCCATGACATGAACACAGAGACATTGCATTCAAGCATGATGCGGAAAATAAATAGTTTACAATTCACGAAATTTATCATTATAAAAAAGTAGCTATTCAGTTAGTTCCTATAACAATACACAGCATGATTAAAAATAGTTTCCGCCAAACT